GATTATGAAAATTCTCAAAGACATAAAATGGACCACACCATATGAATACCCCTTCATGGCCATCGAATTTAAACTGTTTATTTGGTATCACCAATATAGGGCAAGTATCAATGTGTGATATCACTATTGATGTTCTACATTTAATTTTGTCTAATTCACTCGACGATGTGGGGCAAATATTAATGTCTATTGTGAAAATTAAATTAAGCTTTTTATAATAAAAAAACCCTTTTGTTAGATATTAAGCATTAAGTTATTAGTAAATAGATATTGAAAAGAAAAAAATAGTACTAAATCATAGGATATTAGAACGATAGAAAATAATATTTATACTAGTTTATTGACCATTAAAAAAATTACTAGTTTATTGGACAATTTAAAATTAAAAAAATAATACTAGCTCGAACCAATTTAAAATCTATTTTAAAGTTTCTTTGTCAATTATCCCACATTGCAAGTATGATAGTTATATATTTTTTTAATTTAATTATAATACACTTACAAATTTACATTTCTAAATTCTATACTTTTGTAGATTTACTTATTTGCAAAGGTCACACCTTTGTTTACTATTCATAATTACATATTGATAATCAAATCCTCTATTTTATTTGTTTATTTATTTACATTATAAATTATATAATGTATTATTTTTATTACCGTTGTAAATAATTTTTTAAAAAATTAGATGATATTATAAGACAAATTTTAAATTTATTCACCGGGAAAGAACATCTCAATATTTGTATATCGATGAAAAGAATAAAAGTTCTTAATGTAATACCCTCATTTCTAATTGGATTCCTGAAAAAAATATTTATAATGAAATTTAATAATTTTTTTGGATTTTTTTTAAAGCTTAATCCGACCGATTCGACAGATTCCAGATCCGAATTGCGATTCACCGATCCGGATGGGTTTTTGGAATGCCCAATCTAGGGTACCGATCCGTTTTTTAAACTGCTGGGTATAACACAATATTGGTATAATACATTTGATAAATAAAGGACATTTTAGTCGTTTTTATATATTGTTCCATTTTTTTTATATATTATTTTTTTATCAGCTCGTTCTGTCTCTCTCTCCCCCAATTATTTTATACTGACTTTCTCTCTCTAACAAGGTGCCCATTTTCTCTCTCTACATACATGAAACTTTGGTGCTTAAAAGACTTGTTTAAATCGTGTAGTATGAGTTTTTGTTTCCAGATATCCCGATGACTGATTTGCCTGGGTTACCTTTTTCACAATGTTATTTTACAATAAAAGGACAAATTACAGTTTTGAGAGAACATTTCCGGTATAGCTGTAAATAGGAAAGCCCAATCTCTTTATTTGTTTGTTGCTACATACACCAGCCCCATTTCACCCGTACTTTATTTCTCAACAAGTATTTCTTTTTTTTTCATTTTGACAGAAGTATTTCTAGTTTCATTCCGCTTGAAAACTTTGGAAAACACAAGCTCTTTGGAACTTAATTCAGATTGGATTTTTGTGTCAAAATCAAACAATAATTAGCAAAGAGGAGACACTTGAAAGGTATCTAAACTCAGTTTCCTCATCGCCCAAACTAAGCCTAAGCTCGTTAACAATAAAAGAGATACATACGACAGTTACACCATCCATTAACGCACGTGTTTACACAAAAATACATGATGTTTGTGTGCACGTATGTGGTAGCATGCGTGCGCACGTGTTTACACAAGAATACATAATATTTGCGTGCACGTATGTGCTAGCATGCGTGTGTCATGAGAGTGTTTTTATCTGGTAATTCACGAACCCGACACTCCACTCTATCGCTTGTGCATGTATCATCCACACACACTTCGACACAAAGTCGACACTTTTGCGTGTATAAAAAAAGGATTTGAAGTGCTGAGTAGGTTTTCAACTCAAGTAACATTACGCTACTATCGTGAGTCCAAGTGTTTAAAAACTCTGAGTAACTCGGACCAGTCAACTTAGACTCACCCAGTAACTCGGACTCGCCACCCTAGCGAGACAGAGTGTCCTTGAGTTGGGTAGCCAATTTGGGGGATTTTAAAAAAAATATAAAAAAATTATACAAATAAAAATTTATTTGTAGTATATATATATATATATATATATAT